AAGCCAGATTCACTTAACAACCGTGTTAGTAACTTAACAACTACAGTGATTCACTTAACAACCATGGCAAGAAAGGTTGTAAAATGGGGCAAAATTCACTTAATAAATGTTTCCCTTAGCAACAGAAATTTTGCGGGTCAATTGTGGTCATAAGTCAAAGACTATCTGTACTTGCATAATTATTTCTTACATTTCTGTAAGTAAATTGCATATGGATCAGAGGTGGGTTCCAGTCACCATTACTACTGGTTCGGTAGTAAAAAAAAATGCACACAATATTAAAAAAGGAATAAAAGGAATAAAAACTACATTTTTTCAAAGAAGATTGTTCTGCGTATGTGCAGAACAGAAAATCAAGACGGTGCTGCTGATCGTAGAACCGGTATTGTCACGTGTCCGTCAGAGTTACTACCTATTCGGCTGAACCAGACCGAATACGCAGGAATCCATCTCTGGTATGGATGCCTGTGTGCATTTATACCATAGTCTGAATCAGGCACAAATGCAGATCCTATCCTGTTAAGAGAATCTTGGGACTTGAACAGAAGAGTTTAAAAAGGTAACTGTAAGTGCTACCACTGATATGTATCCCCACCCAACTTCACAGCATTTTCTGTTCTCCCGTCTTTAGATTCGCCGAAGCATGATAGATGGAAATAAAGATCAACAATATATTAAGACTCTGATAAAATCCCTTGATGAGGTAAATATGTTGGACTTTGAGTCTGAGCTGCCAGATTTCAAAAACAGTGGTTCTTTATTGGAAAATAGGAGGAGCAGGGAACTAGGGTATGAAAAATATGTCATGAAATCACATGAAAATGCCTTGCATGGAATTAAATCATTATTCCATTTGGCCAAGTCTCTTAAGACTTGCTATGTTACCACACCTGGTGTTAAGATATCTGTGGAGACCCTGTTGAGTCTTTTATGAATGTTGGGAGTGCTGTTTTACTCTAGACAGTCATCAGTTTTTTAACATGTATTAGATATATTGTAAACTTCCCAGAGTCTTTTTGGATTTGGGCAGTCTTAACATTAACATGCATTATAAGTAGGACCAGCTCAAAAGACTTGTGGAAATTTCCAATATATTAGAATACAAGAACTAGGTTAGTAGTTGGGATTGATTGTATTAACTGGAATATATGCTTCACCATTTCTTTAATGTTAATTGTGATATACATTGGTTTGTTTACCATTTATTTGATGAAGAATGAAATGTGGCCAAAAAGCTAATGGTTTTCATAAATGCAATGAGCAATATTTAGTCACTCATTCCTTTTGACTCTACAGAGATATGTTGATAAAGTTCATAGAACCTACACTTGGGCACCTATCAAAAGCACAAACTACAGGTAAGTAAGTAGCCAGGAAAAACACTTCTCCATAAGTGATGATTAAAAGAATACTTAGGAAAAATACTCCTAACAGACTTCTTTAGAAGATAATGCAATTCTCTGCTGATTGAGAAAAGACACCAGAAATTCATTCCCTCTCTGTCTGTCTCTGTCTCTCTCTCTGTCTCTCCCTATCTCTCTTTCTCCTGTGTTCTTCAGAATTTTATCTAATATCTCAAAGGTGTACTGATTGGCCATAATGTTTTGATTTAAACAGATAACCTTTTAGCAGGTACCAGCATTCAACCAGTCTTCGTTAGTTTTGGAAACTAAGCAGGGCTGGTTCTGGTGAGTACTTGGGAGGAGATCCCCTTAGGAAACCAGTATTTAAGCTAAAAATCCCAGAAGAAAACAATGGTGCAAACTATATTTTTCTAAAGAAAACTGCACAGGGGTGTCCATACAAAGCCATGGCTGTCAATCTCCCGGCCCACAGGCCAGAGGCATCACGTGCTTGTCACACCCACAGCCGGTGTAGTGAAGGGGGGGAAAGTCCCAATACATCATGTGATGATGCCATGATGACATTAGTTTGACACCCCTGATATAAGCCATCAGAAGTCAGTTCTAACTTGAAAGCATCTTTACTAAGGTAGATTGCCAATATTAGCCAAAGTCATTATAACATAATGTCTTCATCTTTTAAGTTATTTTGAAATTCTATATTTTTGACCAATCTATAGGTTTAGAATTCAGTAGCAAAGTCTGTTAGAGAGTTTTGACACCATCCCTTTGAAAAGTGGGTCGAACACAGCACACAAGGAGCAATTCTGGTGCAACAGCATTAAACTGTAATAAGTGTGGTCATTGGTAGTTATTGAGTAAGTGCTTAGGAGGAGAGGAGAGCTGACTCCTTGACATTTTTTGACACTTCTGCTCTAGAGATTATGATATTATCTAGCTATCATTGTGGAAATAAAAAGCCTCCCTTAATGCTATGTCAGCACATCCATCACTGGTTGATGCTACAAATGGCTGGTGCTGAAATATATAGTTCCAGATGGTCTTTGTGGGTCTATTCATTTATATTATTACCCCTGCCCTTAGGTCTTGCAGGGTAGAAATAGAATCTTGGAAGAACCATCCATTGATTTTTTTTTAAGGCACAACACTCTTCCAATGTATAATCTTTCCACTGTAATGTAATAAGAGGGAGCTACCTATTACAATATCAAGATTATATCATGTTTGAAGTCTGCAACCAGAAGCTGTTAGATGAGGCTGCCATCTAGTGCATCGTTGTTTATTGCAACTATGCATATGCCTCTGAAATTTTCTAGGAAAACCAATTTATCACTACTTAGCTCAAAAAATACCCAGTTATTTCTAATCCAGTTATCTGAGAACCAGACATAGAATAAGAAAAACTTTATGCCTGCCATGAATTTGTGTTTATTTGGATGATTTCTTGACATGGACTGGAAAACAGACTCCTGGGAAAGATATTATAAACTTAATTTCCTCAAATCTTCACTTCTAATTCTGCTTCCAACAAATGGCCTTTAAAGACACTGGTTTTATTCTTACCTGTATTTCATTCCTTAAAAAGACAGGCCATTCTGAGATTCACTCTTGTATAATATTGGTTCATTAACCTCTCCTTGGACAATTTGCAACATCCAACACTTTCATTCAAGTCTTAAGGCAGGTGTCCTCAATCCTGTTCCTTCCAGATATATTAGTCTTCAACTCTGATGATCTCCCAAGCCAATTTGTCGCCTTAAATCTTCAATTATTGTCTTCTATTCAGACTTCTTTTCATCACCAGTGCAACTGCTTTGGTAACACTGTGATTTCCCTTTTTTTCCTTTTCCAGCTTAGGTCTGGTCTTACCGAATTACAGCAGATCTTACATCCAAGCTAATCTAAGCGACCAGATTCTCCAGGTGAAGTGTAAGTATATGTTTTTCTTTTCCTCCTGTCCTTTCACATGCCCTGTGACCCTAAACCCACCAGCTAGCCTAAGGATGATTTACAAGAGAAAGCAAAATGCCTAAATGTTAAACACTTTTAAAAATGTATCCAATGAAAAACAAATTCCTACCCAGAGAAGAAAAGAAAGTTTCATTTTATTTATGAAAGAATAATGCAGGCTTCCCAGAGATGAAACGATTTACCAGATCCCTTGCAATGAACTTTTAAAAACATCCAGGGGAGATAAGGTTGAGTTGTTGCTTTATATGCTTTTTATGTGGTAGATTATAATAGCAGCTGGTTAATTTGAAAACTGGGAAATTTTGCATGTTTCTTTCTGTTTTGTTTAAATTTGTTTTAAGCCATCCTTATTTTTATTTAAAGTTTGAATTACTTTGCTTGTTTCCTCACTAATTTACAATTAATCTCTGTACTTGTGTGTTTGCTTCCCCTTGTGTGTGATCCTGGGCTCTGCTCTCTCTCATCAAAGGGTGTGAGGAGCTTCCAAGGGAGTTTTTAACATCCTGTTCTGAGTGATTCTGCCTCTTTCTATCTGTGTCTGTCCCTCTGTCTCTGTAATTCTTCTTCTTTCTCATCTCTCTCTCCCTTCTCCCACCTTTTGTACTCCATACTTGTGCTATGTTACTTACAGCGACTACAAAATTTTCACCTTCAGGGAGTTTAAAGGGATGTTATTTTTTAGAATGTGTGCTGAAGTATGACATATTAGTCTTTAGCACTTAGCACTTAGCCTTATATACCGCTTCATAGTGCTTTACAGTCCTCTCTAAGCAGTTTACAGAGTCAGCCTATTGCCCCCAACAATCTGGGTCCTCATTTTACCCATCTCGGAAGGATGGAAGGCTAAGTCAACCTTGAGCCTGGTGAGATTTGATCTGCCAAACTGCTGGCAGCTGGTGATCAGCAGAAGAAGCCTGCAGTACTGCACTCTAATCATTGCATCACTCTGAAGATTCGCTTATGCAACTAGGTTCCAAAATACAGGTAGTCCTTGACTTATAACCACAATTGGGAGCAGAATTTCATTTGCTAAACAAGGCGTTTGGTAAATGAGTCATGTCCAAATTTATGATCTTTTTTCCCATGATTGTTAAGCAAAACATTGCAGTTATGAAGTGAATCACATGTGATTAAGTAAATCCGTCTTCCCCTTTTGACTTTACTTGATGGAAACCAGTATGAAGACAGTAAATGGCGATTACATGACCCCAGGATGTTGCAACCATCATAAGTACAGGCTGATTGCCCAGCATCCAAATTTTGATCACATAATTGTAGGAATGCTATGATGGTTGTAAATGTGAGGGCTAGTTGGAAGTCACTTTTTCAATGCCATTGTAACTTCAATCCCTACACAAATGCTTGTAAGTTAAGGACTACCTATATATAGTTCTTTTGACCAAGGCTGGATAGAATCATCAATCACAGAGTGGTCTTACCCTAAAATGGACTGATCTAGTCCCAGAAAAGTTCTGGATATAATATAATATTAATCAGGCCTACACTATGTTTTTCTTGAAATAGTTAGAAATGGGTGATTTTGCATACCTCCAAGCTGGACACTGGCCCAACTTGCTGACTTTTAGTTAAATTATCCCAAAGGTGCTTTTTCAAGAGGCATCTGGACTTTCTAGTTTTTCTTTGAAGACATTTCACTTCTCATCCAAGAGAAGCATCATTTTTCAGCATCATGGATGAGAAGCAAAAGATCTTCAAAGAAAAATCAGAAGTCCAATTGCATCTTGAAAAGTCACCTTTGGGACAACCATGACCTGGATGGCTGAGGATCTCCATAGACATTTAGTTAAATTAGTTTTAACCCCAGTTCCAGTCCTATTCCAATTTACTTGGGAACATAGAAAATCCTTTCAATAAGAATTCCTTTAGAAAAAAACTTTGTTATTAAGAAGAAATAATGTGAACCATCTTTCTCCTGCTATTTAAGCTACCACTTCTCTTTGGAAAGAAAACATAAATAAAGATCACCTATTTTAAAGTTGCAGATCTAAGCTGCTTAAGGGGCTTCTACAAAGATGAGTGAGTCGAACTATTTTCCAAAGCACCAAAAGGCAGGACAAGAAAGAATGGTTGGAAACTAACCAAGGAGAGAAGCAACCTAGAACTAAGGAGAAATTTCCTAACAGAGAGAGCAATCAACCAATGGAATAAGTGGCCTTCAGAAGTTGTGGGAGCTCCATCACTGGAGACTTTCAAAAAGAGACTGGACAACCATTTGTCTGAAATGGTATAGGATCACTTGCTCGAGCAGGGTGTTGGACTAGAAGATCTCCAAGGTCCCTTCCAACTCTATTATTTTATGTTCTATGCTTCCAATGTTTTCTAGGAGCATTTGGTACAGTATTCACACATGGTTGCTTTGGAAAAAAAATTGCCATCCCATTCCTTCCAGATGAAAAGTATTATAGCAAAGCCTTTTCCCTAGCATGGAAACTTTGTTCAAATATGTTTTTCATGTGGGAAGTGTTTTCAAATACCATAGATAACTCTCTTGTGCAAGCTGATAGGAATTTTTGGAAGGATTATGGCAGCAAATATAAATAAGAATCAGATGAAGTTTCATGTGTGTCTGAGGCCAAGAGATGATACCTTTCCAAACAGCATCTCTCCTTAACATCTAGGACATAGTCGGTCTGTGCTCCTAAAGGATCCTGCTCTGGTGTAATGATGTTATATAGGAATGACCTTGGGAGACAGAGAGAAGGGGTGACCCGAGCTCAGATAAGGTCAGATAAGAGAAGACATAGCCCATAGCTGCTTATTGGGTGGAGAATGAGTCTCAGAAAGGACTCCCTCTAAGTTCTCAGGCTGTAAAGGAGGCTTGCAAGATTGATGTCCATGTTCCCAAGTAGAACAGTCAAGAAACATGGCCAGATGAGCTAATTGTACTTTATTGTAAGACTACATCAACAGGATCTTGCAAGTCTAAAAGTACTAATCTCCCATCATCTCTTTCACAGCCTGAAAGCTTGGGTAGAGGTTCCTTCTGAGCCTCTTTCTTTTTCCATTATGCAGCTGTTGATTATGCCCTCTCTTATCTGACAGTTCCCATCTTCACCCGATCTCCCATCATCCTTCCCAAATACCATTGCATCTGCTGGCCATCTCTGACTTTATCTGTTTTCTCTCTCTCTCAAATGAGGCCTTAGGTTGCTATCCATTATATAGCTAGTCCTCAACTTACGATCACAATTGCGCCCAACATTTCTGTGGCTAAGCAAGACAGTTGTTAAGTGACTTTTGGCCCATTTTATGACCTTTCTTGCTGCAGTTGTTAAGTGAATCACTGCAGATGTTAAGTGAGTAACATGGCTGTTAAGTGAATCTGGCTTCCCCACTGACTTTGCTTATCAGAAGCTCACACATGCTCACATGATCACTGCAACCATCATAAACATGAGCCAGTTGCCAAAAGTTTTAATTTTGATCACGTGACCACGGAGATGTCACAATGGTCATAAGTATGAAAAATGATCATAAGTCAGTTATTTCAGTGCCACAGCAACTTTGAACAGTCACTAAGCAATGCATTACAATAGCAGAGTTGGAAGAGACCTTGGAGGTCTTCTACTCCAACTCCCTGCCTAGGCAGGAAACCCTATACCATTTCAGACAAATAGCTATTCAACATTTTCTTAAAGACTTCCAGTGTTGGGACTTTCACAACTTCTGGAGGCAAGCTGTTCCACTGATTAATTGTTCTAACTGTCAGGAAATTTATCCTCAGTTCTAAGTTGCTTCTCTCCTTGATTAGTTTCCACCCATTGCTTCTTGTTCTACCCTCAGGTGCTTTGGAGAATAGCTTGACTCCCTCTTCTTTGTGGCAACCCCTGAGATATTGGAACACTGCTATCATGTCTCCCCTAGTCCTTCTTTCTATTAAACTAGATATACCCAGTTCCTGCAACCATTCTTCATGCTTTTTAGTCTCCAGTGATTGTAAGTCGAGGACTACCTGTAGTTGAGATTATCACTTGGGTAGTTGATTTTGAACTAGTATGGTAAGTGGCACCATATCAGGCTCTGGCCTTCACATTTCTGAAACGAACAAATGAGTACTTCAAATTCAATCATGAAATTACAGGAAGAGCTTGCTAATTACCCTCACCAGACTAGGTTGGTAGGATTTATGCTTCCTTTTCCAATTAGCAATAACACTACGACTTATATATCGCTCAGGAGTGGGTTCCGGCAGAGACTACTACCGGTTCGCTCAGGGACGCGCCGTGTATGTGTGTTTGATGTGTGCTGCGCGCACATGCACAGTACAACTAAAATTGCTCTGTGCATGCGCAGAAGCAAAAAACAAGATGGTGGTGCCTACGGCGCCGCTGGGAGAACCGATTTGGAAGCGTGGCAGGCCTATGTCGCTGCTGGTTCCAGTGATCCAGGCCACCAAGCTACTACCGGTTCGGCTGAACTGGTCCGAACCAGTAGGAACCCACTACTGATACTGCTTCATAGTGCTTGAGTCAGCATAATATTGCCCCCCAAAATTTGGGTCCTCATTTTACCGACTTCGGAAGGGTGGAATGCTGAGTCAACCTTGTGCGGGTGAGACTCAAACTGCCGAACTGCTACTGAACTGGTAGCCAGAAAACACAGTAGTAGCTTATAGTACTGCATTTTAACCGCTGCGTCACCATGGCTCTTCATTAAAAACCAACCTGAAATACTGTAATACAACCTGGATTTGGTCCTCAATCTCCCTGAGTCGAACAGTAGCTACCTTACTTAATATCTATCTAACGTAATATTGTCACTGTAGTGCCTGGCAAAAGCTCAGCCAAGTTTCAAGCAGACCCCCATTTCCAGTCCTGACCGAAAATTGTAGCTAGTGTCTTTTGCACATGCAAAAGTATGTTCTTTCTACTATGAAGCTGCAAGCTTTCTCCTAAGTGTCACAGATATTTCTCTTCAACAATTTATGTCACGATTGGGACTATGTTCTCTCATCAGGAATTTACATTGTCATCTTGGCAGGGTTTTTTTGTTTTTTAGAATTGGTCACGTTTCATAAACTATGCGATTTCCCCTATGCGCTATAATGTCAGGCATGGTAAACACTTCCAGCTTCCTTTGCAGAAGGAAATGTGGATTGCTTTTAAAAAATAAAAAGAAAGCTTTTCTGCCACGTAGCGTGGTTTCCAGGCTCCCTGCCCTATTTTTGCCTTTCCCTGAGAAGGGCCACATCTTACCCATTTGCCAGATGAGCTCAGGCGTGGCCCACTGCCCTGAATTTCTCTCCCTTCGTTTCCTCTCCTTCTGTCTCAATCTGTGTGTGTGTCTTTTGTTAATCTTGAATTTTGCATGGTCTGCATAACTCAGTAAGAACATTTCTAAATCAAGACTGTTGCAAACTGTTTGCTACTGAATTCCATTTTTATGTTGGTTATATAATATATATATATATATCTATAGATCGAGTTATATCTATACATTTTTTATTATTTTCTTACTGTGGCCTTTTGATTGGTACTTTTATTACTATTATTATTATTATTATTTTGGCTTATTTCTTTTTCATGTCGTTTTTTGCAAGAGGTTTCCTTTTGGTATGATTATGATACACAATATTTTTATTCAAACAGAAATTGAATAAAATATTGTTTGTACCCCCTTCCCCCTTTCCACCCAACCCCCTTTTTTGTTTTCTGTTTTTTGTTTGTTTTTTCTTGCTTTCTCTCTCTGATGGATTCACACAGTACCAAGCAAATTGAAGGGCAAGTATTTTCAGTCTTAGACCACTCCCCTTCTACCACCCCCTTTTCCTCACCTGTGTCCAGTAACCCCCACCCCTCACTCCAGACCTTCACCACTCTCCCTTACCACCACCACCTGGCCTGCTTGCCCATTTCCTTGCCCGTTTGCCACGCCTAACCTTGCGAATCACCACCAAACTCTTCCCCTCTCCTTTCCCTTCCCCCCACCTTATCCTCTTTCACTCTTTATTTGGAAGCAACATGTCTTGTTATGTTCATAATAGCTTCACCACTACTGATCTCCCTACTCCTACCCTGTGCATTGCTCAGAGATTCAATCCGGTATCGTTAAAGATGAGCCAATTTCATATGGAACTGTTATGTTTGAATTCAATTAAGGTTTTTGTAGCTAGTTTAAAATTCCTGCTCTTCTTCCTCCCTGCAAAAATATCTCTTCCACCCTTTCTGCTTTTTCCTCTCCCTTGCCTCACACCTTTCCTACGAATTTTCTTACCTTTTCCTTGTTCCTATGCTTACCTTTCTCTTCAAGACAACTCAACCTGAATGGAACAGGGCTGTGCAGAAACCTCCGGGTTCAGAAAGGTTGGCAAACAGAGACCAATATCACTTTCTCGAGAAAACCTTTAAGCTCCTCCAAAGGGAGAGGAGGAGAAGCAGAACATCTCAAGATGAGTCCATCTTGCTCGCAGGCCAGCATTTTTGAAGCTAAAGTACCATAATCCCCACAATGGGTATCATCATCATTAGCAGAAGTCTTCAAAAGAGATTTCTGGCTATTTATTATCTCAAACTTATTTATCTTTAATTTTTTTACTTTATTATCTCAAACTATTATCACAATCAGAGAGGGGACGTAGTCGTAAGATCGTGTTGTGAACATTCAGTCTACTCAGTTCTCCTATTCATTTACAACAGTCTTGAGGCAGTATTGCCAAAACTCAATTAATAGGAAGGGCAAGTCTAAAACATTCCATCCTCTACACCAGTGTTTCTCAACCTTGGCAACTTGAAGATGTCCGGACTTCAACTCCCAGAATTCCCCAGCCAGCATTCGCTGGCT